AAACACTTCATGACATGCTCTCTTGCCTTACCCATTTTGAAGGGTGTCTAGGAAAAATTCACATCTGTATAATGTTGTGTTTTGAAAGAATAATTGGACTAAAGCATCACAGATCCTCCACTGTTTAAACAATAGACATGATATGTTTTATTTCTGCAGATTCATTTTTTGTTTTTTTGTCAAATCCACTTGTGTATAATTGTGCTAATTGGACAGAAAAAGCTTCATTTTGGCCTCAGCCAACATTCCTGATGGAGACCATAATATCCCCAGGATGACATTATTTGCTGCAATTTTCTATTTCTCAGCTTTTAACTTCCCTGATAAGAAAACCCTGGATCCTTATCTAGCCTGATGGCCGGTGGCTAAAAAAGGGCATCTTAATTGTGTTATACAAGAAAGAAAGTCAAGCATTAGTGATGAAAGGTTCATTGAACTCTGTTTAAGTTTTAAATGTAAAGTGCAAATTAAAATGTATATCAGTTACATTAGTTTTCAAAGCATCGTTTGGTGTTCCAGCAATTGAAGCACATGGTATATTTTCCTAAGATGAATTTTTCCCCCCATTGGACGGAGTATTCAACTTGAAGTTGTTTTTGTTTCTCTTTATGATCATACTGCTGCGGTAAAAGAGTAATTTATTTTATGGAGTGTTTTTTGACCCATCTTCATCAGGGGTGCCAGTAAGTATAGAAAACACGTAACAGTGGCTAAACAATATGTTCCACTCTTTAGCCTCTAAAATGGGCTCCCCTGCACTTCACAAACATCAAATATCCCATTATGCAAACCAGCAGTCACTGCCTCCTCCTCTGAAAACTGAAATATTGCTTGCCCTGTCACTTGTCTCAGCACCAAATTGGCTTAGCCAAATTTAGGATTTGAATAATGTTTCCCACCTTTTTCATCTCCACCTAAACTGAGTCAACTCCATTCAGTGACACTGTAATGCTTCTTTCATTTCTGAGCTTCATCAGTCCTCTCCAGTACAATACAATTCAACCTACCTCAAGGTGAAATCAGGACTACTCTCTATTAAATCCATTTAAATGACAGGTAGACGTCCTCACAAAACCACAAAAAATATTTTAGAGTCTGCCTCTCCAGCTCAACTAAGCATCTTCTCATAGAAAACTTTATAAGTGATTGTGTCTATGTTTAAGCAAATAATGTGTGGTTTTTATGTTATTTTTCAAATCAAATCCATTGTTGTCTTGCCATATTCAACAGATGGGAAAATGTTGTTTTATTAGTCTCTAAAAGGCCCATGGTAACTATGAAGGAGCTGCAAAGATCCACAGTTAAGGTGTGAGAATCTGTTGACAGGACAACTGTGAATAGCTGAAAAAAGCCATAAGAAGTCTCATTCTGGGTTTTTGACATGCAATGTAGGGGGTACAACAAATGTGGAAGAGACTTTTTTGAAATATATGGGAAACATCTGTTGTGGTGCAAAACTAACACTGCAGATCACATTGCACTTCGACACCCATGGTGAAATATTGTGACAGCATCATTGTGTGGGAATATCGTTTTAGCAGGTCAAAAAAACACTAGCACTAGTTGATAAAGTGGGTGGAGCTAAACACTGTAAAGACCAGAGGGAAAACAAGAAGGAGACAGCCAAATCTGGGATTGTACAAAACATACAGCCAACAATGGAATGGTTAAGATGAATGCATGTTCACACATTTTAATCATCCACATAAATTTCATATCTGCTAATACATTAGCAAGAATATCTGGCAATACATGGAAATTCATTTTCAGAGACGCCCACCATCCAGACTGAACTTGAGCTATTTTGCGAATAACAATAGGAAAACTTACTTCAAATTTCTTCTAGCTGTAGTTACAGTAATGCAATCAATGATTTAAGGGATCTGAAAACAAATTAGGTCACATTTCTTGGGTTTTCATTTATTTACAATCTTGAAAACCCTATATGGTTTTTCAAATGTTTTCTAATAAGCACCACTTTTGTTTTGGTCTATCACATGAATCCCAATTAAATGCAATGATTTGTAGCCATAACATGTGAAAATGTTGACAGGTTTTGGGGTAGTATAGATTAAACAGTGAACAGAGAAGCTATGGTTCTTTTAACTTATTTGGAAATGTCTCCTACATGTTTCTATATTGGCCTGTGCATTATGAACTATGAGTGTATCATGACTTTGACTTATATACATAAAGGGAATCAAACTTTATAGATAAATATCATGTGAGCAATTGTGTCCTCAAGGTAAATTTAACTGGATTAATCATTATAAATGTTCTTCTCAACGTGCTTCAATCTTTGCGCTACTAAAGGCTGAACAATTACAATAATTGAAATTATATTTTTGTAATAGGGACAGTTAACTAATCATCTTTTTAATGTAAATGTTTTAATATTTACATTTAGGGGACCAGATGTGATTGAAAGTGTTAAAGTTGTACTTATTTTCTGTGGTTGTGCCTCCTAGCAAGAAAAAAATTACTTCTGAATATGATTCAGTCCTCTTCAGTCTTCCACCTGTTTGTCCTGATATCATTAAGCTTTGCTTTTTTCATTTAGAGTGTTGTTCAGTGACAGTGCAGGGCTTTGAGGCTGCAGTGTTAGTATGAGGCCATGTATCATGGGTTGTGAAGACATTAGGGGGGATGATACATTGTGTCTGTCATTCTCTGAGCTGCAGCTGCATTGCTGTGACTTTCTTGGCCAGGCCGTCCATCTCCACATTTCACAGCTCCAACGTGACTGCAGCAGGGAGATGAGAAATTTGCCTTGTCCTTGCCAAGTCCCCCCGTGCAGCCACTTGCTTCCTCTCAGAGAGGAGCATCTGCATCCTGTTTGCCACTTCCTGGCTTGCTTGGGTCATCCCCCAGACTACGTCATTACAGAGGACATCAGGCTGCATTCTCCATAAATTAAATCTGAAACTGCATTTGCACAGGGACACAGTCCAAGTTTAACCCTTGAGGTGTACTTCAAAAAGCTTTTCTGTTTTTTTTTTTTTTACTTATGAAGCCCATGAACATGTGCTGTCAGTTTGATCATGTCTTTTTGTGTTGTTTCTTGTTTGCACACATCTGAATGTAGAAAAACTATTTCAATAAATAACGTGTGCAGTATTATGAACTTTAACTTTTTTCTAAGCAATATTTTGTATCATATTTTGTTCATACAATTTCACGTAGGTTGGAACATGAATTCTGCATTATTGTGTTAAATAATTTATCAAAGATCTCTATTGACTTTGTATCTCGGGGTGACGGCATGACCTCTCTTTGAAGTGAGGGCTTTTTCATTGCATTCTGTGATTCTCTAACATTTCAACCCTTAACTCCATAAACCACAAACTTTTATTTTGAGTGTTTTTTGTCAATCTAAAGGTTTGTTTTTGTGTTCCTGCTTACAGCTTGGTTCAACTCTTTATTCTCTTTTCTTGAAGGTTAGAGCTGAGGTCAGTAAGAGAAGTTCAATAAATACACAGCACAGTTTGTTGTTGTCATTGGAAACTGACATTTACCTACCACTTTATTAGGTGCAGCATTTGAACTCCATACTTGCAGTACAAGGAAATTTTACTCATTTAAGTATCTAGATGTGATACAGATTACTTATATAAACTGACCATCAGAATAGTCCATAAATTCTCACAGAATCAGAAGAACAGACCATTTGCAGTAAAACAGTAAAATGTGGTTATAACTCACACAACTTTTTTGGTTGAATTGATCTCATTATCAGGGTCAGAATTTAGCACAGACAACATGGCTATATTCTCCTGTCTCACACCAAAAGTTAAAGCTAGTAATAGTAGTATTGTGATGTACGGAACATTTTCTTGACACAAGTTGGGCCCTTTAGTACTGGATGAACATTATTTAGATGCAAAAGCCTACTTGGGTAATGTTGTTGACCAGATTCATCCAGATTTATCCATCTTTTGATGGACCAGGCTTTCAGAATAATTCACCAGATTGCAAAGCTAAAATCTTCTCGGAGTGGTTTCTAGAATATGGTAAGGAGTTCAGTGTATTCCAGTGGGATCGACAGTCACCAGATTTGAATCCAATAGTTCAGCAATGAGGTAGAATGGAAGTGTGAATACAATGCAACTGTGAACTCTGGAGCATCTGTGTGATGCTGTCATGTCCAAGAACCAATTCAGTTTCAGAGGAAGATTGCTATTTTGCCAAGTCTATCCTACAAGAAAATAAGACATTTCAAAAGCCAATCGGGGGTTGGAACTGAGTGTGGCCTCTGAGTGTGGAGCCCATATTCTCAGACAGATGTGCTCTCAACAGGATCATTTTTCAAAACACAGTTCCCAAAAAGTGATAAACGACCATATTAAAGTGGCTTTTGATTTTTGACACTAGTTGCATCAGTGGGCTTATTTTTCCTTGAGGAAGAAACTAATCACTGGCTCACTGTACCAAATGAAACACACCCTCGACCAGTCTGTAAAATTGGATAGTTTGAAACTGTTTCAAGTATGGAGAAAAAGTTTGTTCATTGATAACAGTAAATTATTCGAGCTCCATATCAATAAGACCTAACTGATGTTTTCCCTTGTGACGAGAAAATGCCTTTTCCTTCTTTCTTTCTTTCTTTATTATTTCTTTCTTTCTGTCTTTCTTACTTTCTTTCTTTCTTTCTTTCTTTCTTTCTTTCTTTCTTTCTTTCTTTCTTTCTTTCTTTCTTCCGTTTTAAATAACAGGTAACTTTATGAAGCGTTTTATTTTTTTTATTTTATTTTATTTCCTATGATGTCAGGAGGGGCTGCTGCTATAACCCTCCCGGCACCCGTCTTCAACCACCAACCATTTATAGCCTCGCGGTGACAAACAATCTTATTATGAGATTTAAACTTTGCCTCTGCCAGTCTGGAGGATCAACATGCGCTCCCCTCCCCTCGCACCTATTCCTCGATGTTTCCCCAACTGATACTGTGATATCTGCCTACCTACACGCCTCCCCGTGACAGCGGTTAAACGCCGGTGTCAGCTCTCGGTGTAATAGAAAGACCCAGGCAGGGCTCTGGGTCTCTTCAGAATAACATGAAGGCGAGCGACGAGAGGAGCTCAGTGCTGAATTAAATCAGTCTCCGCTTAATGGATCTCTCAGTCTCGCTTCAGGCAGGCAGTTGCTGCTGAGCCGTCCTCAAACCAAAAGCAGCAAATCTGGATCTTTTTTATTATTGTTATTATTATTATTATAATTATTCCGATTATTCATTCTACTTTAAGTCGTTGCTTTTAATCTTTAACGCCGTAAATGACTCAGTTCTGTTTGAAAACGTGTTGTGCTCGTGGTGAGATACAGTAAGCCCTCCGCTTAGTATCGGGACGAAGGTTCCTGCTCTGCTATCACTCAGCAGGTAAGCTGAATTTTATTGTTTATTTTATTTTTTTCAACCTAACTTCAACGTTGCAGACTTTGAAGAGCATTTATAACGATCTGCTATATGCTTTGCATTCACATGTTGCTAGCGGTAAATCTTTAAGCCCCGTGTTGTGATTTGAATAACAGCGCGGCTGAAGTGCTTTGGCTGTTGTGTCAGTGTGTGGAACAAGTTAGTAATGCTTACCTCTTAAAAATTAATAGTTCAACTTGAGCACCAGTCTGCGCAAGCCGGTGGATTTTGCACTGGTTTCAGTGAGAGCTCATGCGCCCTGACTTCAGATGGATGGAAATAAGGCACGCAGAGCAATTTGTCGTGCCTGTCGTACCATCGACATTTAGTTTCTTCTTTTTTTTTTTTTTTTTTTGTCACCCGAAATTGTTATTTTCTTTGAACAAACGATGTGTATTAGTTTTTCAAGTCCATTCAAAGCATACCGGGTATACTTGGAAGCTGTAAACCTCATATTTCAGCCTCTTCAGCACCATGGCCAGCTCCACATCGCTCAATTTGATTTACTTCACTAACTTTATTAGATTCATAGAAATAAATAAATATCAGAAAATGGGAGTTGTTTTCCGAACTTTTATTTTTCTTAGATATTTATTTAAGACATAAATTCTGCAATTTTCCTGGGGCCTCACATTTCCTAACAACACATACAAAATGAGAGTCTGCATCACAAATCTGCACGTACTTTGACACCGTCAAGAAAAGTAAAGGAATACAAACTGAGGCAAGTTTAATAGAGCAGCTTTAAGTGATCAAAATATTTGCACCAATGGTGCAATGCTATGCACCATTGGTGCCCTGTTCTCGGAGTTGCGTTGTGCAGTCTCATTCAGATTAGCTGAGGATTTTGCTGCATGTGTGCCATCTGTTTGAAGAAAGCATACTAATTGTTGTATCCTGGACGTATCGCTTAATTTTAGCAGTGGAAGTCTTTATATGGAGTGTTTTCTCTTTTTGTAAGTCAGGACATAATTAATCTTATAGCTGTTGAGTCTGCTGGACAGTCTTTTCTACAAATAAAGAATTGAAATTGAAAGGGACATCAGTGGGGTCTATAACGCCAGGTTCACTGTAATGTCAGGTTAAACAAAATAATTAAAAAATGTAATCTTCCTTTATATATTTTTTCCTTGACTAATTCTAAATATCTATTAGTGGTATTAAAAAAGCTAGACTTCCTTTAAAGATCCTAAGCTCATCCTAAGCTGCTGTCAGTGTTAATCTTCTTCCAATATATTTTTTTATTATTTTTGCAAAGGATACACCTGTATTAGGATATACCAGGCAATTGAATCTTCCAACTTTTGATGATGGGAGTTGTGACAGTTCCAAAACATCTCCGTTTTGCTGTTGCTGCTAAAGATGTCTCCTGCATTTGCCTTCCACATCTCCCTTTTCCTGTCCCCGTCTCCCTTATCTTGATTATACAGCTGGATGATTGAGTCAGCTGTTTTGTATGCAAGCTGCCTTGGCTCGACTCTTTGTGGAGGAGAGAGAACGAGATCGTGCTGAGGATACTGAGAGAGAATTACAGAGGCTCATGACCATGAGAAGCAGAAAAAACGAGGCTGCCCTGTTCGATAAATTGCTATTTGAGGGAGACCAATATCCTGGGGTGGAGACAGTGGTTTTAGAAATATGACTAACCTTTCTAAATGGAAATGGCATTGTGCATTACAGTTTTCCACAAATCTTCACGTGGATTGATGAATCCAGATTGAATTCAAGTTGACCGTTTTCGGCATAAAATCTGGCTTGGTAACTTAAACATATGCATTAAAAGTGCTGTGCCGATACAAAAATGGTTTATTTAGGTATGCATATTTTGTTCTTCTATCTTATCAGTTCTGATCTTACACCATGAAGATCTGATATAAACATTTTTAATCCGTTAATCAATTTATCAAACTAGAGTTATTTTATATAAAGGTTAGAAGGGGCTAAATAAATCAATGGAGCACTGGTTGTTTGGTTAACAGCGTGCAAAACTGTAATCAAAGGGACCAAGCAGGGTTTGGAGACAAAGCTGTGAAACATATGGTACAACAGCATGGTCTAATTCAGTGGCACAGTTCTTGACAACCATTAATACTTATTGTGCTGTGAATACTGTGTGCCATTTTACAAGAGCAGTTCTGCCACCTCAGTTGCAAGTGTCACATGTGACTCTCAGCTGTTTTGTTAAAAGGAATAATGAGGCAACGCTTCTTGGTTTATGATGAAAGGACGGCTCATGGAATTAGCCACAGGAGGAACGCGAATGAAAGGGACAAACTGTTTATTTGGCAGAAAATGAATAAAAGAAGCAACATTTCATTGAAGCCTAACAGCATATAGTGCTTGCATTGATCCCCTGTAACATTTTTCTGTATTACGACCGCAAACTTCAATGCATTATCTTAGGATTGTATGTGCTTGACCAACTCATTGATGTATAATCATGAAAAGAAAGATAAAATATGTTCTAAATGTTTTAAAAATCAAATTCTTAAAAGTGTAGCCAGCAGTTTAATTAACCTCCCCATATCTTTAAATAATAATAAAAAATAAAACATTTCAAACACTTTCCTTCAGAATCTACCTAGCTAATAACAATAGTCGGAATGTGTCAAATTCAATCGCTTAATAAATACAGCCATTCTCTGTTGTATATCAGAAAACATTAGTGATCATCTGGCATCATGATGACAAAGGAACACAACAGACAAAATCTGAAATAATATCAAAATATTTTAAGCATGATTATGGAGTAAATATTTGGTAACTGAATATACCAATTTGCCATACAGTACTGTGGTGTCCAATCATCTGAAATGGATGACTAACAATGTTTCTTTATAGTAATACATAATTTTCATATACAGACTTTTAAAATGGTGTCACAATTCATGCTGTGTGTTTTGACAGCGGCTGCTAATCAATCCATCAATTTCTGAAAGTCTAATCTAAGAATTGTTAGTTTTTATTGTTTTTGACAGTGTTAGCCTTTTATGTGCAGAAATTATAGAGTAACACACTTCACTGGAAGCAATACTCAGTTATTGTTCCTTTCAATCTTATCTCACTGGTATCAGTAATGAGTGAGATGATTCCTATTTTGAGGACACATAAGGTATGAGTGAGCACAGTCCAAAAAAGACAGGAATAAGTTTGATAAGACCCATCGACTAAATGTTTTTTGGAGTCGTATTATAACATGTCAGCTTTATAAAAGCTCATTTTCCACATCCTTTGTAGGCAAATTTCATACTGTAGATTTCTATCTTTTCTATCGGGTTTTTCACTTGTGTTAAGAGCCCTCTCAACTAATTACTATCCAAATCATGGATGTCCACGCTTTCTGTCCTGTGGCCAAAATAGTTTTGAGTCATAAGTACTCAGTAACATAATATATAAGAAAACTAAAAGCAAATAAAGAAGTCAGATTTTATTGTTGTTGTTTTGTAGGAAAGGGATGTTATCCATCATAAATCCAAAACTCCAAAATTTGTCTCGGCTTGATTGAACAAGTTTATTTTCAGTTTTAAGAGCAGGATTTGGATGACTTTCTTTCAAAACACAAGCTATATTTAGTCAAGTTTAATAAATTGGATAAAGGCTGATTTGGTTACAGCAAAGTCGGCTTTTCAGTAAAAGCTTTGGATAGACGTAAATTTTTCTTATTATAAGAGTTTGATTGTAAAATGATGGGTACTTTGTCTTGTACTTATTAATTCCACTGTAGGAAAATTGTGTCGGTAATTTTCACCCTGATTTTAAAAAAAGCCTCCATCTGCATTCACCACCTGTTATAGACAGATCAAATTAGCATCACTCTTAAACTGCAGTTAAAGGCCTCACAAAATCACTACAAGATCAACAAATGGTCCCTGGGCCACCTTTTGGAGACCTCTGATCTAAGTAATAATACAGACAATATCTGAACATATAATAAGGGGAAAAACAATCATGTGAAAAATTGTAATTTGAATAGTCTTTCACCTGCTTTAGTGCAGTGATTCTTGTTGGACCATCTGTTTAGAGATGTTTGTGGTAAAGGACAGGCCCACCAGAAACGCCCTCTGAGTTCTGCTTTGGGACGATTGGTATTAAACTGAAGTGTTAAGGAAAGTAATTTAGTGCTCTGTGTAGAGAAACTATTTGCTGAGGATTTCCAATGTTTAACGAAGGCTGTAATGAGCAGATAAGGCTGAAAAGACAAAAAAAAGGAAAAAAAAAAAACTACCTCTCAAATGCAACCACCCTCAGGCACATTTTCCATTAGACAATGCAAAACAAAGATGTGCTGTTCCTGAGATTACATCTCCTTCAACTCTTAGAAAAACATTAACAAACTCCATCTTGAATCACCACCTTCTGAATATCTGCAAAGAGTAATTTCAGACCTGGGATTTAAGCCTATTTAGGGAAAATATGTACACAAATGTATATGTATATAAATTTAGCCGGAGCTGTTGAAAGTGGCCGAAGTATTGCAACAAATTCAAAGCTTGTCTCTTAAAATGTCCATTTCTTTACCTGCAAACTTCTTCTTATTTCTTTTTAAAGGAAATACAGTAATGTAGCAGAGGGTTTATATTTTAAAAACTAATGACCTAAGACAATATATATTGTGCACTTGAGGGGAAAAAAAAAATGCTCAGCAGTCTGTAAGAGCGATGAAATGTGGGGGGAAATGTTGGAAATGTGCAGATTCACTCTGGGGTGTGAATCAGTCATCATTCATTTGGAAGTGAACAAAAATGAATCCACCGCAGAATGCCAGAAACGTGTAGTTTCCTCAGCCACCTGCTGGTTTCCTTATGATGCACAAAGCCCTTTAGTAAACAAGCATCATGAAATGGCAGAATGAGGCATATTGAACGCTGCTCTGGCTCTTATTCGCCATGTTTTTGCAGAATAATTAGGAGCTGGGTTGCTTAGCAGTGTATCTTCAGGCACCTGCATCGCTTGATGAATATCCT